TGATCGTATAATTGCTGCATTATGCAATGTACATTCGACATTTATGACAGACTTGAAGTACCCTGATTCAGGTGTTGACATTCAAAGCGCCGACCACAGTCACATATAAAATACTTAATACTTAGTACTTATGTCAAGTACCCACGAGAAACAAGACAGCCACGTCTCATAGGGTATGATGAAAGTCTGACCGCAGCTCGGACTCTGGAGTCCGAAGAGTCATGTGTGACAACATGACCGCGGCGCCGCAGTCGATCTTCAAAGGCTGGCCAATTGTGCGTTGAATCGGTACTAAGTAGGGTGTCTTGTCGCGATCAGAATTAGTGGGTGGACCTATCTAGTATCCATGCCCAAGGAAGGATAGGTAGATACCTGAATGTAAGGTGCTGTGGTGCTCATTCTTCGTTTCTCGAGCTTGCTCTCTGTTGCGCACCTGTCTTGTTATTGGATGCAAGGCTGCTGGCTTGACTGTACAAAGTCCCTGATGTGCCTTCTTGAAAGGTGCTTTTCAACTTCAGGGTATCCTTCATTTGGAGAGCTCAAACAGTCTCACCAACCAGCAGAGAGTGTTATCGTGTGAGCGCGGGGTGAGCGCTGCGCAGCTTCCTTTGAGTTCTTGAGGCAGCCTGACTCAGCTGGATACACGCATACAAGGGAGGCCAAAGGGAGCAGGCGGACGCAATGGCTGGCTGAGAGTATACCATGGCGTTTGGCTGTTTTGGGGGCCCTTGTCTGGGCAAGGTATGGCTTTTGGCACTCACCTGAAATCTCGCCCCTGCAGAGTGTACGTTGATCACATTGTCAGGGTCAGCTGCTAAAAGGTGCAAACTTGCTCATTGTCCAGCGCCGTACCTTGCGACCGCCCTTTGCATTTGCAGGACCAAGTCTGCTGGGGGTTTCCTCTTTCTACAGATTGTTGTAACTTGATTGTACGTTGTGGCTTTGGAACAGGGGGCTGTGTCAAGAGAGCGGACAACAGCATCTGGAGCAAAAAGATACAATGGGAAGATTGCTGCAGGCAGCAAGACAGAGTCTGCAATCTCTGAGGAATCTGTCGCTCAAGGTCCTCTGTATGAGCAGCCTGCACCTCAGGTGAGAGAATGTCCTGTCCCTAGCTGTGCTACATCTGGCCAGAGATCTAAAACCAGTTGTGCACTTGTGTTGATGTATAAGAGCACGAGCAAGCTCGTTGAAGCCTACCTGTTCTCAGGAGGTAGGTCCTTTCCAGAATAAGTCCTCTGCTTCTAAGGGAATCTTAGCGAGGAGAGTTGCTGAGACCATCGAAAAGCCTTTGAACAGACGCCAAGAAAGCTCATTGAACCTTAGAAGTGACGTTGGGCTCTTCTTAGCTTTAGAATATATGGGCAAGGTCAAGGCCGGCCTGTAATGTTAAGGCCATAGGTTCCAGTTCTTGTACCTTTCCAGGGATCATGAGCGATTTGAACAAGATTTCTGAGTGCGCATGTACGTTACTGCAACTGAGCTGTCTTATGTATCCTCCAGTCTTTGAGGTGAATTCTGATGAGAAGCATACGTGATGCTGATACACTGCCGGCTCAAAGCTGAGCACTTCATGCAACGCCGTGTCATCAAATAAGCATAATGACCAAGTCATCAACTTCCCATGCTGCCTCCCTTGAATAGTGTTTTTGACCCTTTACCAACAGGGAAGGAGGTCAGGCGGCACTTCAGAGGAGAGCCCTGCAAGCCAACTGGAAGACATGAAGACGCTACCAGACCAGCTGCAAGCAGATGGACGCTCTGGCAGATTAGGGACACAGCAAGGCCTTGATCTACAATCCAATCAAGCAACGGCAGCAACCACTGATCCAGCAGCGAGTCAGGTCACCGAGGAGACGGCAACCACTGCACGCATTCCCATGGGGGTGAGTCAGACAGAGCCCCGACTGGTCACTTGGTCTACTTTTTGATGTCTAGGGAAGCTCAACGGTTGCAACTCCTTTAAAAGCTTCTGGTGAGTCTAGTCTTAACTCTGCACGTACTGGAGGATTCTTCGACTCTCAATCAAGTAGCTTAGAGTGTGTGCCGGAGCTTTTGGACACGCCATACTCTTTAACTCAGTCGTATGTTGTTCTTTGAGGGTCTGTTCGAACGTCAGAGAAGTCTGAGAGGTGACAAACCCAGCTTTAAAGTTGAGCACCTCAAGCACTGCTTGCTGTGCAATTGATAGAGCAGTACACCCCCAGTTGTCATCTTGCCACGGTGCCGTCTTGACCAGTGTTTCTCCAACTCTTCCAATAGGCGAGCAAGTCAGGCGGTACTCTTGAGGAGAGACACTCGAGCCAACAGGAATGGACAGGTACCATGTCCAACCAAGCAGTGGCAGCAACTGCTTCAGCAGCGAGTCAGGTCCCCGAAGGGGTGCCAACCAACGCGCGCACTCGTTTTGACATCGACAATAAGGTGAGTCAAAGACAGAGCCCGAGGTCCATTGGTCGCCTTTCTCTTGATTCCCAGGGAGGCCAAGATCTGCGTCTTCTTTGAGTTAGCTTCCGGTGAGCTTCAGCCTCTCTGTTTCAGCCCATAATTTTGACGGAGTAGGTGAAAAGGTAGCCGTATTCTGATTCAAGAACCTGCAAATGCACTTGTAGGAGTAAGGATTATAGAAGAGGTGACAGTGTCGATGACAGGTTGGTGAACTGCTCTCCATAAACACGTCAAGATTGAATGTGCTTTTTCTGCAATTGTTTGGACAACGTTTTCCACTGATAAAAAAACAGCTTCAGCACAGACGGAGCCTTCCTCTCGTTGCTGGCTCAGAGTTTGAGCTTGTCCGAGGCTAGACAAGAAGTGCAGCGCGGTTTTGCCTACAGAAATTGTGTCGCCATACAGCCTTCAGGAACTCAAGTCGCAGAGATTCTGGTCGAGGAAAGTCGGTCAAGTTGATACAATGCCGGAAGGTGCAATGATGCAACATGTGCAATACAGGGAGAGCCGGACCTGCCACCTACGAGTAGCTCCAAGCCCGCTGCAGGAGCGCCTGCGGCCAAAGCTGAGGCGCCAAGCCAGGGAGCGGTTATTAGAAGCTCCAGCGACGAAGGGAGTGAGGCGGTGAGTCAAGAACTTAGCACCAGCTGCTCGACGCTCGAAGATATCGGTTCTGCATCCAACAGCTGCGCCCAAAATTACTACGACTATTAGTTTCAACAGTTTGCTTCAGCATCCCAATAGCTGTTTGTTTCCTAGGCACTTTCAGAAAGCATGAAAGCGCATTCATCCTTGACCTTTGAGCTTCGATGGTGGTATACGAGAACGTTTCGGAAGCTCAATTCGTGTAGCTCGTGAAGCGAAGTGCTCACATGCGTATCAGGCAAGCAAGGAGTGATTCTAGCTCGATTTAACTACTATAGTTGATGCAAGCAAATCCTCGAGGTTTCCAACATCAGAGCCATGTTTCAAGGAAATCGAGATAGTCGCGATGAGCTTGAACAACCCGTTTTTATTCAGACCTTTTTTCCTTACCGTGCAGATACCCAATGAAGGGGGAGAAGGGGCAAGAAGGATTCCTGCAAAGATTATTCCTGAGCCAAAAAGACAACTCGAAGCAATCGACGTGGTCAGCCTCTCTGAGGCAAGCTACTGAATCCCGAGCTCTCTTTTACTGATTGTCCGCACAGATTAGGGGATGTCGTGAATGGAATGTACGATGCCAGCATCCGTCGAACAAACATGCTTTGGGGTCCAAGTTTAGGCCAAAAAGCTTAAGGATGAGCACCTAAGCTTGCTTGCTAGGTTTCGCACTTTTATCATGCATCATATGCTTGTCGCTCTTCGAGTCGGCCCAACATGCACTCAGAAAAAGGTAATCTGCTAGGCCGTTTTTTAAAGGTGTATATCGTAACAACCTCCTCGTGCTTTCTCCGTCGACCAAATCCTCTGATGAATGCTCAGCTACATGAGGACGGATCATCTGCTGACAAGTGTAGTGACTCCGTTTGCAGAATCTGCAAGATGGCGCCACATGGATGAAAGAATTTGCAACAGGCTTGTCCGTCAAGCCTGAAGCTCTCAGAAACTCAATCCTGGCTGCGCTAGGTAATATAGTCGGTGGTGCTGTGGACGTGGGGGAGGCGCTCCCCTATGTGGGGGCTGCCTTCAAAATCCTCAACCTGATCATAAGCGTCGTCAAAAAAGTAAGGACGCATTCTGGCAGCAAATTCTCAGCCTTCAGCGAGGTGGCAACATGATGTGCCTACAGTTTGCTTTTCCCTTTTACTCACGAAATGCATGACAGGTTGGGTCGCCATGTCCGTAGCTGCTGATATCAATGTCACTGCTCTTTGCTCCTTCAAGGAAAAGCTGGCGTGCTCCTTGTCTGCCGACTTCTCTTCGTTAGTGAACTGGGAGCAAGCATGACCTTTGGTGACCTTTAGAAGCACGCACACATGACTTGCAGGTTAAAGACTTAAGAGTGTGCTGCTGAACATTAAAACGCTCAATTGATCAACACGAGGTTGAGGCAGTGAGAGCAAGTGACCCTCTGATTAATGGCTCTGGCGCGCTATTGAGATTGCTTCTATCTCTTATCAGATAGACCCTGCTGCTTTTTGCAACGAATGGGCCAACGACGCAAATACGAACTTGGTGAATTCAAATTGACAGTGCATCTGCTGAGTACATCTGTAATTCATGAAAAAGATTCAGGCACACACGAGCCAACAAGAAAGAGGCACATTCCGAGCGCGCTGATGAATCCTCCTGTCCTGAAGGGACTTGACACGATTCTGCAAGCCCTTTCGGATCCTGTGTGATTGAGGTAGCTTACAAATTTCGAAGCGATATGATCAGGGTATGACTTGATTGAATTGCGCGCAGGAGGAGGAACTGGATGCAAGCGTAAAGGAGCTCCAAAAAGTGGCCCAAGTCATGGTGGAAAATCTGAGGGAGACATCGATCGTGCATGAGGTGCTCGAGCAGCATGTGAAGAAACTTTTCGAGGCGCTCTGCAAGGCCTCCGCTCTCGTGAAAGCTTACGACGGAATGACCAAGCGTCAATGGATTTGGAGACGTGTCATGACACGCGGTAGCGACAACAACCTGGTTATAACGCTGATTCAGGAGATAAAAGATGCATGGGACGGTTTGGCACGGATGGCGAGCGTGCAAGTTTTGGCAAAATTGGCAAGTTTACCAGAAGTGAGTTTTGTGCCGGACCCACTCGAGGAAGAGCTTCGCGCGGAGCTAACACCGGCAAACCTGGACAAGCTTAAGAAGAACGACAAGGAGTACATGGGGAACATGATGAGGCGCCTTCCGCCTACGTTGCAGGTAAACATCATCTACCGTAACTGCTTTTTCTTCGGTTGAAACGGATCTGCCACCGACATGAAGGACAAGGATCAGGACGTCAGTTACAAATGGGCTATGGCATCTGCTCTGAAAGTCTCGTACTCTAAAGCGCCCATCGGAAGTGCCCAACTGGTAGCGTGATGTGTTGAACCATCCGGAAGGAGAGCTCAGATCCTTTTACTTTCAAAGTTCTTTATAACATTTTCAGATGCTCTGTTACCAGGTCACCGTTGACGACATCGCTTGCTGGTCATCAACGTGACTAGAGTCCGAATTTGCTTTGCGAGCAATCTAAACCATAACCTCACTGGCTTTTGAAGACGGAGTGATTGGACGTTTTAGGCCCATGTTGGAGCTAACTCTTCGTGATCTAGTATCTTATTTGCCCCCGGCACTCAGCACTGCTGCCTAAGTATCCTCACAGATTCTGTTCGTTGGACGTTCTTATGTTGCCAGACCATCACAAGCTAGCCCGACATCAGAAACCTGAGTCGAGAAATTCAACCTCTACTAATCGTTCGCAAGTGAATAGGGCATTCAAAAGACCAAGCGGCATCAGAAAAGTCTGATCCGCCGTCTGAATATGTCCAGAATAAGCGAATCAGCACCAGTGCTTCATTGCAGAGATCAAGTCTAAATATCCTGTGCAGATCGAGTTGAAGCTGATCGAGGGGTTGATAGCGTCGAGGGACAATACGCCTGCACCCCCTGATTCGGCCGTTTGCAAGGAGCCCGATGAGCAGAAACTAAAGAGCAACCGCGAGTCCCTCGTTGGCGCAGACTGGCGGAAGCGTTTGGAGAGCGTAGAAACTGAAATAGCGGAAGGGCAGAGCTCGCTGATAATGGTCTACGGACGATCGGGCTCCGGCATGACCACGTTTTGTGAGCAAGTCAGGGGAAGCACGAAGGTACGAGGCCGATTCTCCTCCTGGAGGAATGTCTACTACCTCAAAGGCATCGGGCAAGTTGAAACGAAAGATGACCAAGTGCAAGTCAACGACCACTGCCGGGAGTTGCTTTGGCAATTGTATGAGAGGCTTCAAGAGGAAGCGGGGCGTAAAGCTGACAAGACGCAGTTTCTCGGCGCCAGCCTTCGGGTCCAACAAAGGTGGATAGAAGACCACTTAAGGGTAAGTCGGCCACGCTCCGAGCAACGTGCCTCTTTTATTCTTGTGGTTTTCAATTCTAGGAAAAGATGCTTTGCTTGTTAGAAACTCTTCTCATGCCTAGGAACATTCGAGAAGGATCAACGTAGAAGTAGGGTCTATGACAAGCATTGAAGGAACACTTGACCAGTAGCACAATATTGGGCTTTGGAATAATCAAAATAGTGACATGTCAAAAGATGATCCCAAAAAGCATACCGTTTGCTAGATAGATTGGCCCTTTTCATCTGGAACATCCTCAGGTCCCGCATAATAGTTGCAGGCATCCTTCTCAGTCGTCTTCTGACTTTTCGGCTTCTCCAAGTCTGATCCGGACCTTGAGGCAGAATTGTTTGTGATTACATCCCTCTTTCCAAGACACGTAGTTGGGACAACGTACTTCTTCTTCTTTCAGGAGCTGGATATCCTGCTGATACTAGACGGTGTCGTCTATGATAAGCAAGAGAAGGAGGCCTTTGATCTGAAGACTTTTGACCAGACGGGGAGCGTCTTATTCGTTGGGCAAATCGTTCGGGGATCCGATCCCGTTAGGGAGTTCGAGCTGCATCTGGACGATGAGAACGCATAGTCCATGCTCCTGTCGACGTTCAAGCTGAAAGAAAGCAAATCAGACGGTCCTCATAAGGTGCGTGACATGTGGACAGCCTGGAACGTTTCACAATCTTGCACAAACTTGTGTTGCTTCAACTATGAATATGTAGGCGTTTTATCGTCTCCCTTGTTTGACAGAGGTAGATACGCTCAAGAGCAGTATGGTCCCCTCTCGAAGTCCCTCGTCCATACGAGAATCTCAAGCTCGAAGCAGAAGTTAGAAGAAAGAACATACTCTTGACGTGTCAGGCACTCGATGTTCGATGCCTTCGGATAGTAGGAGGACCACTCGCACTCTCTCAACTTATTCTAGCGTGCTGTCTGAAATATTTGCGTTTAAAGCAGACGCTTGTTAGTTAGCACGTGAACGAAAGGCTGTGACGTCTCAACCGTAACACGGCTTGTTGCAATTTCTTGCAGACAGGTGGCGTTCCAGATGGTTTTTGATTATTCATCTTTCCCTATTCAAAAAATTGTGATCCCTGGTTCAAAAGCGCCCTGGTTTTCCGCTCGACCTTGATAAGGAGCAGGCAGCTTCTACAACGTCTTTGGAGCATCCTCTCCAATCTGGATCCGATTCATTGCTACGAGCATTGTGGAGGTACAATTTGCAATCCTGCTGTTTTTCTTTGTCTACAGGAATTGTCAAGCATCCTGGACGGGATTGTGAAGGCCTTGACTCCTTGTCTGCCGGCTAGGGTAGAGAGGATTGGGAGGAGGCTGCAAGGAACGGTCGACAAGAAACGGTGGCAGGCGGAGCTGCAAAAGCTCAAGGACCAGAAAGCACACGAAGACAAGTTCCGGGACGCCTTTGACTTGCTCAAGTCCGTGCCTAGCGGACTGCATGGGGAGCGTCTTCAGGTACATCTGCAATCAAAAGCGTCTCAATAGCGGCAAATTGATCACAAAGATAGATTGTCTTTTTCAGAATCTCACGGAGTACTAATTCATCATTTTGTGCAAAGAAACAAACATGCTTTCTCCGCGTGAGCTTTAAGGAGTGGCTACTTTTGAAAGAGCTCTTCAATAGGTCCGCCAGTGTCTGCTCGTTTTCTTGTCCTTGTAGAAGACCGAGCCATCGATAGATGGTGACGTGGCACGCGTGCTCCAAAATTTTTGACAGAAAATAGCTGAGATAGAGCGTTGCTTGTGACTCAGTCTTCCATCCGGAGCCTGTTACCAACTTTCCGAGCAAACAGAAACACGACCTGCCTGATACATGGGGCTCTTCCCAAAGAAGCGTCCATCTTGAAAGGATGAAGTCAGTGATTGATCGCCTGACCTCTGGCACCTTTGTGCAGACATTGTTCCTTCTGGTGGCGGCACTTCCGGCTGTGGCGGACCCTTTGGTAGCGGATGCGGAGTCCTTTCTGCAAGCGTGGGCCGCCTCGTGGGACCTCGAGCTTGAGGACGCTGAAAGGGACATCGACGAGCTGAGGCAGCGAAAGCTTCTCTTCCGCGGGGGACAGGGGAGAAAGAGACTGAGTGTAACCCCTCTGCCCGAAATCATTTCTGATGGAGAAGAAACGGACGGGGAAGAAGAAGTGGACGGAGAGCAAACTGGGGGCGCTCCTTCTTTTGGGTACGGTCTCGAAGAAGGGTACCGAGACAAACCTTGAGGATCATTCACACGTGCGGAAGCCGGCTCAAGCCAATCCGCCCAGACGGAGCGGACGGAGTTTTCCTTCGGAAAGCTTCAGGAGGAAATAAGCAAGGACGGCTCAGAAGCACTGATCCTACTGGACACCAGACAGAACAAAGGTCAAGGTTCCACGTCCTGGCTACGTGCATTCATGAGAGAATGGAAGGTGCGGAAAGCTTCTCAGCTGCGGGCGGAGTGGGTGTTCTTGAAGGACCTCGCAGCAAAGAAGGACGCAGCGGCGCTTGGACGGCTGTTGGAGAAGTGTTGGAATGCGCGCGCCGTTTCGTTGGAGGGAGACCTGGTAGATTTGCCGGGCGAAGTGGCGAGCCTGAAGGAGATTGTTTTCTTCCGGTACCACGGGGGCAGATTGTCAAAGTGCTTGCCTTCGGGAGTAGGAAAGTGGAAGCATCTGTCCGCTCTCGACCTCGAGGGAGCGAAGCTTCCGGAGCTATGCGAGGAGACAAAAGAATGGACAGAGATAGAGGTAAGACTTCTTTGGTCTTTTGCGCTTTGCACCAGGCTGATTGAGTAATCTGCAGGAAGAAGCGAGGCTCTGCTGGCAGCACCATCTGGTTGGGACGGGCAAGCATCCGTCTGCCATTTCGCCTAACAAACAAGGTTCCCTTGACGGTCCACGACTCTCCCAAAATGGAAGACTTTCGGAACGGATACCTATAGTCAAATTTTGTTTCTTGATGCACCAAGATAGATGATATCCTTAACCCACTGAAACATCAGTGTGCTTTAGCAGATGATTGTTAGTTGGCCAGGTGAATAAGCGTGATCTCATTGCTCGCCCATATGCACGCCTGGTTCGTTGAAAGTTACTGCCTTGATCCCTGTCAAGGTTGCGCAACCTCAAAGGTATCGGCAAACACACCTCCTACTATGAACCGAAGTATCAAAGCGTCCGAAACATCAAGACCCTTTGAAAAAGGAGTCTTGTTTTAGCTCTGATTGAAGATGAGAACGCTCGCTTCTAAAGCTGCCTCGGCCTTCCCTTAGTGACAGCAAAGACGCACACGATTTGTACAAGTGATCTGAGCAATATTGGCGCGACGCCGTTTAAGATCTTCTTTCGCAAGACTCTTTCTTCAGATTTATCACGTCCAAACACATCTGCTTGCCTTCCCTAGGTTCTGCGGCTGCGGGACTGCGCTAAGCTGGCCGTCCTTCCTAACGCAAGCATGGGAGCTTGGCAACAGCTACGCACTCTCATCTTGTCCGGCTGCAGTAGTCTGACCAGCTTGCCCCCAGAGATTGAGACCTGTACGCAGCTCCAAACCGTGGATCTTTCTCGATGCAAAGCGCTGGCAGAGCTGCCGAACGGGATTGGGGCCTGGGGCGGTTCCCTCACAAGCCTGCGCCTAGCAGGCTGCTCGTTGCTAGAAGGGCTTCCTGAGAGCGTCACGAACTGGTCGTCGCTACAGACGATCTCGCTCGCGGGTGCGAAGAGTCTGAAGCGTCTGCCAGAGGGGGTCAGGGGCTGGATGAAGGTGCAACGCGTCAATCTGAAGGGGTGTGCAGGGCTGGAAGGTCTGCCGGAAGGAGTTGTGAACTGGGAACACTTAACGAGCATCGTCCTGATCGGATGCCCAGGCGTGACAAGTCTGCCGAAGGGAGTTACAGAGTGGGCCGCCGCTAACAACATCAGCATCGGCTGCTCAAATCTCCCCGTACTGCCGCCACTGAGACAGGACCCAGCGGCGGATGGCTTTCCACCGTGGTGGCAGCTGGAGACCCTTGACCTCAGCGGCTGCGGCAACCTGCAGGAATTGCCCCTGGGTCTGGGAAACCTGCCTTATCTGAGCGTCCTCAACCTCACGAACTGTTCCTCACTCACCTCGCTACCTGAAGAAGTCGGCCAACTTGCCCTAACCTCCCTTTACTTGGACGGCTGCAAGAACCTTTCGCTGACGCGGAACGAAATCTGTGACCTTCTCCGGGGTTCAGAGATGACACTGTATTGGTTGTTTACTGATGGCTGCCCCGCATTCGAAGAAGCCCTCAAGCTCCCTCTGCTCGCGGAAGTTTCAGCGTTCTTTCTGTTAGAAG